CTGCAAGGGAGGATCCAGGAGCAGGTAAATAACCCAAAGAGACCCTGAATCCTTCTTATTGAAACTGCCTCTTAGCATCTGGACAAGCAGCAGTCAAAAGCAGATGAAAATGTGGGAGCGCAGAAGCAATTTAGCTGGAGTCGTGATCTGCCATTTTCTTTCTTTAGTTAATACCAGTGAAAAGTAGACAGGCTTTCTAAAGGATGGATCACCTTGAGGGCAACAAGTTGCCAGGGTCCTTTAGTTCCCAGGGTAGCTCCACCCCCAACAAGGTCTACAAAGAAGGGCAAGTATAGTCTCCTTGTCTCTTTCCTCCTAGCCTCCCTGAAGATAGCCAAAGGTCGATACTGAGATCAAAGTGTCAGAACCAGCAAAGGAAAGAAGCCTCAGTCACTGGTCACCAGCAAGGAATAAAGGGGAGAGCCACATTGAACCTATTTCAAAGTCAACACAATGCCTTGCTGGTCTTCACTTCTCCCCAGTCTCCAGACTTGTAGGCCCTATCTCAACAAATTTCTGGTCTGCAATTCTCACCCATCCATCCCCATTATCTCCTCTACAGACAGAATCACAGTCCCACAGAACACAGAAAAAGTCACTCACATAGGCCCTGTGCCCTTCTTTGCTCTCAGAAACAATTGTTGGCAGATGGGAGTTCAAATCAACAGAAAGAAAGAAATCATTCTGAAAATCATATAGTTCATTAGGAGGGTTTGGAAAGAATGTAAGGTAAGGGAGAGAACAGAGGGGAGGCAGTGGGTTAGACCAGACCAAATGCCAAACAAAGTCTCTTAACAGATCCCTCCAATCCCACCTCTCTGGGGAAGGAGAATGAATAAATAGGAGGCCACTTGGGGTCTCTACTTCTTTTTCAGGAATGTCAAAAAGAATTTCATTATGTCAAGTAATTAAAATGCACTTTACATTTCTACATGGCTTTCATGTCCATTGGGGAAAGGATGGCTACTTAACAACTCTGTCCTTGGACAACAAATCTACCTATAGAGGAATATCATTCAGAGATTCTAGTCTCTATCACCACCCCCACACTGGCCAAGAGATTTTCTCCCCAAATGATCTTTAACAGACAAACATGTATACTAGTCGTGTGTGTTTGTTTGTGTGCGTGCAAAGGCTTTATGCAGCAGAGTGGGATACAGTCAAACAAAAATGAGGTTACCATGGCAACAGGCTCCAGCATCACTGCTGCCTATTAACACAAGTGAGGAATGTGTTTGGCAGATGCTTGAGTGTTATTTATGGTATGAGTGTAGCAGAGGGACTTCTGACAGGCAAAGAAGAAAAAAAAAACCCTTACGATGTTCCTACTGTACCCAGAGAGGAGACAGTAGCAGAGAAAAAAACACTCACATACAGAAGGAGAGAATAAGAAGCAGAAATAGGGGAATAAGAGAAAAGCATAAAGAAAGGCATAAAGTGAGAAAGAAAGACAAAGTAGCAAGTGGGCAATAGGAGGACAGAAAGCAAGAGACAAAAAAGGGTGTGTGAAGGACAAGAGAAGTGAACAAGAATTAAAGATAGAGTAAGAGAGAGAATCTACAAAAAGGGGGGGGGAGGGAAAGTGACAGATACCAAAAGGAAGAGGAAGGAAATAAAAAGAGCCCAGGGAATGATAAAGGCAAGTAACAATCCCCCACACCTGCAAAGTGGGATTAACCAGCTCTGTACCCTCCCTCTCCCACCACTTAGGAAGTCCTCCCCCTGAAGAAACGCCATCATAAAACACTGATTAAGAAATCAAATCTCTCCTTCCAAGTAGAGCAAAAGATAGTATCTTCAAATGTTTTTAAAAGGGTCTGGTGGCAGGAACAGAGATTAAACAGGCAGGCAGAGAGATAATTGTTGGAAGAAATGGCCCATAGGAGGCAGAGGACTTCACTTACATGGGATAGCAGGTGAGAAGAAGTATTCAGTATAGAAAAATACCAAGTCCATTCTCAATTCATTCATCCATTCATTCAAAACACCCAATTTTAATGGACAGCCTACTATGTGCAGGGCACCACCCGAGAGATAAGATGTTAAGAATCACCTACCACCAACCCTATTTCCCTCATAACTAGTTCTTCAATAAGATGGGCAATCTAGCTTCTAATGGAAGTCAGCACTCACTTATCCACAGCCAGCCACAACCTGTGGCAAACATAAAATACGAAACTGTCAGTCTTTGCTACTACTATCGGTCAGTGCACGTTCAAGAAACAAAATAATTTCTAGATCACACTGACCCTGATGTAATAAGGAAGATAAATCTGATGCTAATTTTAAAACTGTGCAATTCTTTCAGAAGCAAAATGGAAAAGATTTTTGGATTACTTGCTGTTCTAGACTACCTGCAGCATAGCTCCCCTCCAACTGAGTGGATTATCAAAAATGGCATGTAAATCCACAGAAACCTGAAAGCTCTAGAGGCCCATAGAACATGGCAGACCAAAAGATATGCCTCTGGTAGGGTGGGGGTTTGGAGATAGCAAGGGGAAGAAGAGGAAGGAGGGATGGGGATATGGAGGAGGACACAGAAACCTCTCAGATGCCAGGATGGCCCGGCATCTGAGAGGTAAGATGAGGCTGTGGCACTTCAGGCCCTGACAGTGGCTTCCTGGTCATTCCCCTGAGGCATGCATTTCATTGCTAGGATCAGAGACCCACATCAAGTTGAATGTCACTGGAAAATCCCAGCTGATCTCCTATTTGAGCTGCACCCACCCATTCTTCTCAACATTATTTTCCTTCTCTGAAGGCTCATGCCCACCAAAAGCACTCAAATGATCCTACAAGTGGCATCAACACCCACTGCATTTTAACAAAGTAGAGCCCCAAGGTTAGAAGAGCTGGTCATTAGATATCACAGTAATAATTGGGGGGGTGGCAAAAATCATTTGGTAGACTTATTCATCCTAAGCAATAGCTGACCATTTAACATTCTTTTTCCAGGCATTAGGTTACAAATACTTCCATGTAACTTCAACTAAAAGCACCCAAAGTTCATCTTACTCCACTTACTGATCCCAAAGCTGAAAATCAAACAATTCCACATGCATTTTTTAGCACCTGCTTTGTCCCAGGCCTTATACAGGCTTGGTGCATAAAAGATGTACAAGACAAAGTACCTGCCTCCAAGGAGCTTACAATCTAGTATGGGAGAAAATATTGGAGAAGAATAAGTGCTTCAACTGTGTTGCACTGATTTTAAGTACAAGAAGAGTTCCAAGAAGTGAGGGATCAATGTGGACTAAGGTATATAGAGTTCTTGAAGGCAAGACTTAGACCACAGAATTTTAGAGCTGAAAGGAACCTTTATCAATCTTCTCAGTCGCTTGAGTCCCCAGATCAGTTAAGGACTCACCAAAGGTCACACAGCTAGTTGGTGTCAGAACTGGGCTTAAAACCCAAGTCTCCTGACTCATAGATCAGAGATCTTTCCACTGGAAAGGAGAAAAACAAGGGAGTGGAGTGTCACCGAAGCCAAGAGAAGTCTCTTAGAGTAGGCAAACGCTGTCAAATGCTGCAAAGAGATCTAGGAAAACAAATATTAAGTAAAAGCCACTAATTTACACAAGAAGGAGGTTACTGGTTACCTTGAACAAAGGAATTTCAAAAGAAAGGGGAGCACAAAGTACTTTGCATTTATTCTGTAAAGTAGTTTATATTTACTTCTTTGTGCATATTACTCCCTCTCCCCACCAGAAAAAAAAATACATACTTCCCGAAGGCAGAAACTTTTTTGTCTTTAAATTTTCAGCACTTCGAACTGAGTCCAACAGCTAAGTAAATAGATGTTTAATAAACATTCATATTGAACTGAATTTTGCAGAAGGAAATGAGCGCAGAGGACAATGGAAGCAGCAGATGAAAGCTATAACTTGGAGAAAAGGAAGGAGAGAAGCTGGATAGTAACTAGGAGAGCAGAAAAGGATGTTTTTAAGATGAGGACCATGTTTTGTGTGAAGACATAGGGCAAGGAACCCAAAGAGTGACTGAAGACTCAAGAGAGGGAGGTAATAGTTGTGGAAATGAGACAGCATGGGACAGGAAGATCTAGAATAGGGTACACAGTCACTAAGTAACTTCGGCTTTCTGCTTTCTGGGGAGCGGCCCCCACATTTTGGCCAAGACATTATGCAGGTTCAGTAAGAGTTTAGACAAATTCAAGATTATCAAGGGAAGAGAGGAATGCTCGGTGTACCTCTTGACAGGTCTAATCCTTTGAGGTTGAGATCATAAAGGCAATCTGGACATCCTTTGGTGGCTGTTTGGAAGATAGGACACTTGACCTATCTCATTCAACACTACAATTCTCCTGTCAGACTAATGATCAAAATCTTCCCCTAGGCCTAACCCTGAGGATACAAGGTGAAGTAGTTCTGAAATAACTCAGAAGCAGGAAGTTGCAAAGAGAAGACACAGAAAGCCAAGAGGGACATCAATCCATCTCCCCAGGCCTGTTCTAGCTCAGTAACCATCCAACTCAACTCAGTGCAATGGGTTTTTGTTTGTCTGAGTTCTAGCTGTAAATATAGATAGCTACATAAGCTTCACAACATCACAAAGAGCTCAAGTGAAGGCTCAACTCTCCACACCCCCCACTCCTGGAATTCTTCCAAGATAACAGCCATCAACCCACCCCACCCCAAACTCTGCTCCCTACATAGTCCAGAGCCACCCTTCTGGGAGAGGGGAGTTCGTTGTGGGAAGGGTAGAATTTCTGCAACTTTGGGAAATGGAAAGGTTGTCTTTGAAGTGCAGTTGCTATGGGGTCCAGCAACCCCATTCATAAGGAGGGCATTTATGCATTGGGAGGAGGAAAGATAAGACTTTCCTGTAGGATTTTCTACTCACACACACTCCTTTGAAAAAGTAAGTTATGAGATGGAGAGAGGGAAGTGAGAGGGAGGGAAGTGAGAAGGATTTTTTTTTTTTGCGATGTACTGAGGCGTAATTTCGCACCAATCTAACTCCTGTCATCTGACTCCCCTTACCTGCTTCAGCAAGAACTGGTCCTCAGAGTTGGCCTGCAGGGAGATGGCAAGGTGTATGGCAGAGAGCAGCACCCCGCTAAGCACGGCAGCCCTCATGCGGACAGGCAGCAACGTGTAAATGGTGTAAATGAAGAACACGGTCCACCAAATGCCCTCCGAGGCACTGCGGGGCTGAGGCAGCAGCAGGGCCACCACCTCGACGGCCAGCACCACAGCGATGAGGGCGTAACAGGCCAGTCCCATGTGGTCCTGGTGGAAGCTGGCCCTGTTGCAGAACACGGCCAGGAGGAGCACCACGGCCACGGCGGCGGAGAGCACCGCCAGGTAAGGAGGCTGGTAGTGGCCGCGGGCAGCGTGGAAGGCCAGCATGACTAGGCACACGAGCACCAGCACTGCCATCAGCATGGTGAGGCTGCTCTGGTTCAAGCGGAAGAAATAGCGCTGGTAAAGCCTCTCGAGTTTGTCCGACGGGAACTTCTTGGAGCGAAAGATTTGCAAAGCGCCAGGCAGCAGGCGCCCAGAGAGAGCGCGGCTCCGGACCCCGAGCCCGTCGAGCTGCCAGCGTCCTCAGCCTCCTCCTCTCCGCCCGTTCTGGCTCCGGGCTCCAGCTCCTCCGCCGCTTTGCCCTTGCTTCGCCGCTCATCCAGACCCAGCTCCACTGAACGAGGGCGTACCTCCGCCCCGCCCCCCTGTACGGTCGCGGTGCTCCGTTCCCCCGGCCTGGACGGGGCTGACCCGCCGCCGCTGCCACCGCCGCCTCCTCCGCCCGCTGGGGGGGCCCGGGTGCTGCCCCCTCCCGCTGCCCCACGGCGGTGGCGACGGCTGCCCCGACAGCAGTCTTCTCCTTGTTCTTGCCAGGCTGACTTGGAACGAAAGCTGAAGCCGAAACCGCCCCCGAGAGGGTCCTGGCCGCCCAGCGGGGGTTCGTAGTCTTCATCGTTGCGCCAGCGGCTTACCAGGCGGTGCTGCTGGGGGGTCACTGCCACCCCAGTCTTCTTAGTAGAGCCGCGGGTCAGTCCCCCGGGAGGGTAGGGGTACCCATTGGCTCGAGACTCCGCTTCTCCCCAAGCTGAGCGGTGCTCCCCGCCACCCCTGGGAGCAGCCGCCGTCTGGGCTGCGTAGCCCGGGGGGCTTATGCTTTTGGAGCGGGACATGCCCCCCTCGCCCTCCGTTTCTTCCTCTTCCCCTGGGGGGCAGGCTGAGGGGCGCCAAGGGGAGGGTGGGGGGCCAAGCAAGGGGACCAAGCTTGGGTCACACGTCGGGGGCGGCCCAGGTCCCTGAGCCGCGGGGCATCGTGGCACCCCCGTCCTGAGCGATGTAGGGTGGCGCCTGGAGGGAGAGCGATCGGGGTCTCCGGGGAAGGCAAGAGAAGCCGGGAAGGCAAGAAGTAGAGGGAAACCCGCTTTCGCTAGGGTGAAGACTGTCTTGTGTCCAAAATCGAAGTCACACCAGTGCTCCGAGGACTGCTCAGGCTGTCGCGGGACCTCGGGACAGCTTGGCTGTTTCCAGCGGGGGCTGGAATTAGGAGTGGGGAGGAATGGAGAAGCTTCCTCAGCAGGCGACGCCTCTCTTGTGCCAGCGGTGCCTAGGCAGAAAGCTCCAAGATTCCACACTGAGCCCAAGCTCAACCGAACCTGGCGCAAGGCTAAGCAGCCGACTCGTTAGGAGTCCGGGTAGGGAAACGGAGCGGGAGCCCTTCTCTCAAAGCGAACAGAGAACGACTGGGCGGTACGGAAGGCAGCTAGCATTATTTTCTTAAGAGGGGTGGGGAGGTGGGATGGGGGGTGGAGAGGACGGGGGAGGGGGCGGCGGGCGGAGCAACGATTCCGGGGACCTGGGGGGAGGGTCCTGGATAGCAGGGGGCCCCACCACCGCATCCCCTACCTCACACGTCAAGTGCGAGAGCGTGGCTCCAGCTTCAGACGGCGGCCCCAGTGTCCATAGAGAGTGGGCAAGGGAGAAGACCCGGCCCCTGCTGGATGCCCCTTCCCCACTCTTCTCCCAGCCGCTCCCCCCTTCCAAAAAAAAAATAATAAGCCTCCTTCAAATCTGCCTGCTGAGCAGAAGGGAGGGTTAGCTCCGGGCTCTGTATCCTTCAATCCGCCTGCTTCTAGTCCGTAGCAGCCGGCCTGGGTGAGAGGCGGAGAAGGACTAACAGGAAGGAGGGTATCCGATCACCACCAGCAACGTTAGCCCCGGCTCAGAGTGGGCTTCTTGGGGAGAACAGAATGAAGAAATAGAAGATCTAAATTCAAAAGCATCCCGCCAGGAGAAGGGCCGGTCGCTGCAGAGACGCTGCTCCCCTGGTCGATTTCCGAGGGGAAAAGGGTCTGTGGGCTAAGGGATGTTTGGAGAGCGCCATTCACGCCTCCGGCCCTGCTATTCCGACCCTTACAGCCACCGCCGCCGCCGTCGCCGTCGCCGCTGTTTCTCCTCCTGTTCTCTCCCCGGCTCGCCGCCGCCGAAGCTTCCTCTGCATCCCCTCCTACCGCTGCCTCCCCCCGCCCCCCCGCGTTGCTCCAGCCGCAGGTTACAGCAGCGCATAGCACACCCCCGGCCCACTGCGCCCCGGGCCACCAGGCTTGGCGCCCCGTTCCGCTCGGCTCGCCGCCGGCATCCTCTGCCGGGGGCGCAGAGGAAAGAGCCGGGCAGAGGCGCAGTCGCCGTTCTTGGAGGGGGCGGACTGGCGGCCAGGGGGAGCCTTCGGTCCCCTTCCTCACCTAAAATTGTGGCCGCTCTCACTCCTACCCCAGACCACCTTGTGCAGTGGCCACTCGCCCCCACCTCTGCCCGGAACTCGGTACTGCGTGTCCCCTTTACTGATCCCTGCACCCCCACCCGCCTATTCCCTCCCCCTCTCTCTCTTTTGTATCCCCCCCATCACCCCCCTCCTCGCATTCAACCCAACTTCAACCTCAGCAAGCTGCCCCCGCCCCCTGGCTCCGCGTGATTGGCCATTTCTTGAGCTGTCACACTAAAGTCCGGTGCTCTTATTGGGCGATTCCAGGCCGGGCGTCTGTGCCAATGGAGGGGCTCACAGAGGCGGGGAGCCCGGGTTGCGACAGCGGGAAGGATCTGGGAGGGGAGAGTCTTTACGCTCTGGAAGGGGCCAAAGGAGCGCGAGAGGCTAGACTCTGAGAGAGGTGGACGCAAAAAGAGGAAAGAGAGATGAAGAGGGATGGAGACACAGGAAGGCACTTTTGCTGCTGACTGGTTGCATCCTGCAAGGGGGAGGATCGGAGAACGTAGGCAAAGAGCAGACAGCCACAACCCCAAGCCAGCTCGCACTCAGGGCAGCTGGGACCAGAGCTAGCTCAGGGCACTGAACACTAGACGAGGAGAGCAACTGTAGAGACAAGAGGGTAGGAAGCAGAAACAACAGTTGGATCCTGGGAAGGAGAGATCCTGGCAAGGAGAGGTGTCAGGCCCTTAAGGCCAGAAAGTATCTGCCTTGTTGGTCTTTTGATAAAGAAGTGGTTCACACACATACATCACACCACAGCCCCTCTGGACATCTAGGCATTATTGTCTTGTTGCATTTTCTCCCGTTTTCACCCGTCGTCGGGAGGCAGAGGGGCAGCCCATGCAGGTGAGAAGCATTGCCCACCAATACTTCCCTTTTTCTATTCCTCAGAGCTAATGTGTTTCCTGTTCACCCCTCATCCCAGACCTCCCTTTGGGCAGTGGATAGTAAGTATTCACAAAATGGGGAACAGGAAGAAATCTGAAAGACTAATCTGCAACCTTAATCAACTGTCGCTCACTGTCTATTCTAAAAGATGGTACCCTAGACTACAGGTGGAAGCTAGAATTAATGCAATTTTTACTGAAATTACCCAGACCATCCTTTCCAGGACTGGAGTTCCTTAAACCAAGACTGCTGACAGTCTCTTCCTGACTCTCCTCTAATACAGAAGAAACACTTGACTGGAGAAATGATTGGGACTGAAAATCAGGTCCCCAAATTTCTTTTACTGGTCTAAGCCAGGCACCCTTGAAACAGGAAACAAAGGTGAAAATTTAAAAATAAATCCAAAAAGCAAGATGGTTGAAGTTTGTTTATGTGGTTGGCATACATTAGCAATTACCATAGGACCCTGCATTTTCTATTTCATATTGTCATGGGCAGCAGTTACCCACCACATTAACTCAAGGCAAGAGACGTTTCTTCCATCACAATGTGACTTCACTTTTTTTCCTCCTTTTCTATACCTGAGTCCCAAGATCCTTCCCCTTACCCAGACTGGCAATTCCTCTTTTTCAACTACCTTTCCCCTTTTAATCACATAATATATTGGTATATTTTGACCTTTGTACTTCTCCATAGCTCCTGGTCAGCCATTACCCAGGGCAGGAAAACAACATAAACAGATAACCGAGTTTAACTTCATAATACCTTAAACAAAATCTTTAAAAAGCTCATTTCTTGCAACTATTTCATAAGACATGGAGGAAAAGGCGCTTTTAGCTTCCAGGGATGGTGAACACTAAGACTTGTTTCATATTACTCCCCCTAATCTATGCTGCATTCCAGCCAAACAGAACAAACCAGAGTAGTTGTTCCACAAAGTCAACATTCCATCCCCTGCATCCAGCCATTTGAATAAACTATTCTGTATTCCTAGAATGTTTTCCTTCTCCACCTTCAGATCTTAAGAATCCTTATCTTCCTAATACGCTCACCTGAGGTGAAGCTTTCCCTGTCCCTCCAGTAGTTAATGCCCTCTCCCTTCTCCAATTACCTTACATTTACTTATCTGTGCACGTATTATATTCTCCCAGGAGAAAGTCAGCTTTTTGAAGGCCAGGACTGTCTCATTTTTGCCTTTGTATTCAGTACTTTGCAAATAGTGGATATTCATATATTTGTTGAAATGTTAAAATAACAGCTGAAACAGAGGCTTGAGAAAGAGGGAAGATGTCAGTCGGGGTGAATCCCAGCTGAGACTTGCTCAGTGCTGTAATAACCATATAATACATATACTGAAAAAGTTTTTACCTCCTTATTTCTCTTAAGTAGATCTTAGTCAACTATCCAGCCAGGGCAAAACAAGCAAACAAACAAATAAAAAACCCAAAACTTACTGACCTAAATCTCAGATACCTTGCCCTCCTTTATTATCTATTTATTTTTAATATTCTTTTCTTCTTAAACTTTGAGTTCCAAATACTCTCCCTCCTTCCCACCCCTCTGTCACCCACTGAGAAGGCAAGCAGTATATCAATTACACATGTGAAATCATGCAAAACTTATGTCCACATATGACATTTGAAAAAAGAAAAATTTAAAAATAAGAAATTATACTTCAATTTTCACCGAGTCACCACTTCTTTCTCTGGAGGTGGATAGCATTTTTTTCATCATGAGTCCTTTGGAATTGTCTTGGATCATTATATTGATCAGAGTAGCCAAGTCTTTCACAACTGATCATCATTACAACATTGCTATTACTGTGCACAATGATCTATCTTCACTTTGCATTGGTTCACATAGGTATTTCTGTGTTTTTCTGAAATAATCCCCCTTGACATTTCTTATAGCACAATAGTACCATCACAATCATATGCCACAGCTTGTCTAGCCATTCCCCAATTGATGGGTATTCCCTCAATATCCAATTCTTTGCAACCACAAAAAGAGCTGCTATACATATAGGTCCTTTTCCTTTTTCTTTGAGCTCTTTGTGATAACAGACTAGTAGTGATATTGCAGGGTCAAAGGGTATGCACAGTTTCATAGCATTTTGAGTCTAATTCCAAATTGTTTTCTAAAATGATTGGACTCATTCACAACTCTACCAACACATTAGTGTACCTAGTTATCCCTCGTCCCCTCCAGCATTTGTCATTTCTTGATAGGTGTGAGATTGTGCCTTAGAACTGTTTAGATTTTCATTTCTCTAATCAATAGTGATTTAGAGCACTTTTCCTATGACTATGAATAGCTCTAATTTCTACTTCTGAAAACTGCCTGATCCGTTGACCATTTGTCATTTGGGGAATGACTCTTATGTTTATAAATTTGACTCAGTTCTATACTCAGCATGTATTTGAGAAATGAAGTCTTTATCAGAGAAATTTGCTATAAAAATTTTTGATATTACTTTATCATTTGTGGTATCTTTTTGGCAAAATGTAGTTCCCCTGATTATCTCTTTTAATTAGGTCTGTTTTCGCTTTTGCTTTGTCTGAGATCATGATTGCTACCCCTGCCTTTTTCACTTCAGCTAAAGCACATTAGATTCTGCTCCAGCTCTATATTTTAACTCTGTGCGTCTTTCTGTTTCAAGTGTCTCTTGTAAACAACATATTGTTCTACTGTAGTTTCTAACCCATTCTGCTGTCTGCTTCTGTTTTATGGGTGAATTCAGCCCATTCACATTCACAGTTATGATTACTAAGTGTGTATTTCCTTCCATCCCCTTATCTTTCATTTTTTCCTCTGTTTCTCTCTCTCTCTCTCTCTCTCTCTCTCTCTCTCTCTCTCTCTCTCTCTCTCTCTCTCTCACATGTCCCTCTTTAAAAGTATATTTTGCTTCTAACCCCTGCCTCCCTTAATCCACCCTCTTCTTTGTCCTCCCTGCTTTCTCTCATCCCCTTCCCCTCCTATTTCTGTATTGGGTAAATTACATTTCTATACACAACTAGGTACTTATATCTATTTTTCCTTTTTTGAGAGAATTCAAACATTGCCTGCTCCACACACCCTCCATTTTTTTCTCCATTGTAAAAGCTCTTCCTTGCATACCTCTTTTATGTGAGAAAATGTTCCCCTTTCTATCTCTCCCTTCTCCTTTCTTCCTAGGTGTCTCTCTTTCTAACCCTTTCATTTTGGGGGGTAGATCATTACAATATAATTGACTCACACCCATGCCCTCTGTCTATGCAAACTCCTTTTAACTACCCTAATATTGATAAAGTTCCTAGGAGTTACATGTATCATCTTCCCATATAGGAATGTAAACAGTTTAACTCCATTGAGTCCCTTATGATTACTCTTTCATGTTTATCTTTTTTATGCTTCTCTTGAGTCTTCTGTTTGAATGTCAAATTTTCTATTCTGTTCTGGTCATTTCATCAGGAATGCTTGAAAGTCCTCAATTTAATTAAATATCCATTTTTTCTCCTGAAGGATTACACTCAGTTTTGCTAGGTTGGTGATTCTTCATTGTAATCCTAGCTCCTTTGCCTTCTAGAATATCATATTCCAAGCCTTCCATTCCTTTAACATGGAAGCCTCCAAATCTTGTGTGATTCTGGCTATGGCTCTACAATATCTGAATTGTTTCTTTCTGCATACCTGAAGTATTTTCTCTTTGACCTGGGAGCTCTGGAATTTGGTTATAATGTTACTGGGAATTTTAATTTTGGGATTTCTTTCATGAGGTGATTAGTGTTCTTTCAACTGCTATTTTACTCTCTGGATCTAAGATATCCATGTAGTTTTCCTTCATGATTTGTTGAAATATGACATCTAGGTTCTTTCTTTGATCATGGTTTTCAGGTAGTATAATAATTCTTTTTTTTTTTTGGTGAGGCAATTGGGGTTAAGTGACTTGCCGAGGGTCAACGGCTAGTGTCAAGTGTCTGAGGCCACATTTGAACTCAGGTCCTCCTGACTGCAGGGCAGATGTTCTATCCACTGCACCACCTAGCTGGCCCTTGTCCAATAATTTTTAAATGATCTCTCCTCAATCTATTTTCCAGGTCAGTTGTTTCGCCAATGAGATGTTTCACATTTTCTTATTTTTTTCATTCTTTTGACTTTGTTTTATCATTTCTTAATGTCTCGTGGAGTCTTTAACTTCCACTTGCCCAATTCTAATTTTTAAGGAATACTTTCATTCAGTGAGATTTTGTACCTCATTTTACATTTGGTCAATTGTACTTTTTAAGGAGTTTTTTTTTCCCCAGTGAATTTTTGTGCCTCTTTTACCTTTGGGACAATTCTATTTTTTAAGGTGTTATTTTCTTCAGGTTCCCCCCCTCTTTTACCAGGCTCTTAATTCTCTTGTCATAATTTTCTTGCATAACTCTCCTTTCTTTTCCCAATTTTTCCTCTACCACTCATCTCTTTCTTTACCTCTTCCAGGTATTTTTGTTGATCTCGTGTCCACTTAACATTTTTATTTGAGGCTTTGCTTGTAGCTGTTTTCACATTGTTGTCTTCTTCTGAGTTTATGTCTTGGTCTTCCCTAACATCATAATAGCTTTTCATGGTCAAATTCTTTTTCTGCTGTTTGCTCATTTTTCTAGCCTATTTCTTGACTTTGAACTTTATGTTAAAGTTGGACTCTGCTCACTTGGGAGTGAGGGAGCAATGTCCCAAGCATCAGGCTTTTTCATGCTTCTGTTTTCAGAGGTACTTCTAAGGGTCTGCTACAAGTTTTTGGTACTTCCAAGGTGGTATGATCCTGGGAGAGGTCACTGCTCTCCTGCTCTGCACTCTAGTCTTTACCAAAGAAGAGTCCCTCATCCCCTGCAGCTACGGGCACTAGTGCTCCTCTCTGCTTTGGTACTGGGCCCTGCTCCCTTGTGACCAACTGCCAGTGCTCCTCTCAACCCTGAAACTGAGATTCAGAACTACATATGGGCAATAGAGTTGCCAATCAGTGCCAGCTATACCCAGTGCCAGTAAAGGGTTCCCCGTAATCTCTTTCTGACCAGTTGTCTGACCTCCTCACCATCTCTGGGCTGAGAGCTCCTGAAGCTGCTGCTGGGGCAGCTGCTGTTGCAGCCTCCAACTGTGTGTGGCAGGAAAGGGGGAGGGGCTCCCAATGGACTGCCACCAGACTTCCACCTGGGTGTTATGGACTTCTCTTGCACACTTCTTAAGTTTTCTTAGGCCTGAAAAATAGCTCGCCATGACTTTTTATTGGCACCACCAGTCCAAAACCTGATTTGAGGCATTAGTTTAAAGTTGTTTGGAGGGGAATGTTGGGAGAGTTGAGCTGCATGGCTGCCCTAATCTGCCACTATGGCTCCACCCAACTTTTTTAAAAAAAAAAGTCATAGAAATACATTTCCTTGCAACTGTTTGATTAAAAGCACTATTAACTTCTTCTCAATCACTTTTCAAGTCTTTGTAATCTGACTTCTGACCTCACCACTTCTCTCTCCAGTTTCCATACAGAGATTTCTTGATTGCCAAATCTAATGGCCTTTTCTTATTCCTAATTTTTCTTGACCTCTTTATAACATTTGACACTGTTGGACAAGTCTTGCATGTTCTTTCTTCCCTGGATTATCATAATATTACTCTTTCGGTTCTCTTTCAAGATATCACACCTTTCCTTTCCAGTCTCCTTTGCTGATTCATCATCCATACACTGCCCCTAACTGTTATTGTGCCCTAAGGCTCTCTCTTGGGCCATTCTTCTCCTTAAATTCTCTCTTGGTGATGTCATCTCCCTCAGGCTTACTTATTGTCTCTCTATAGCTGATTCCAAACTTCATAAAGCCAGCTCTAGTCTCTCTCCTGAGCTCCAATCTCTCATCTCCGATTGCCTCCTCGGCATTTCAAACTGGATATCCCATAGACATCTTAAATTCAATATGTATAGAACTCATTGTGCCATCCCAAATCCTCTTCTCTTCCAGGCTTTCCAGGCTTTCCTATTCCTGTCAAAGTCATCACTATCCTTCCATTTCCCCAGTTCAGCATCCTTGGCATTATCTCGGTTCCCTATTTTCTGCCTCACAACATTTCTCAAAATTGTCCCCTTCTCTACATTCTTTTCACCACCTTAGTTCAGCTCTCATCACCTCTCCTCTGCACTATTGCAACACCTTCCAAATTGGTCTCCTGGCCTCACGGTTGCCTTCACTCCAATTCATCCTCCATAAAGTGATTTTCCTAAAACACAGATCTGACCATGTCATCCTCCTACTCACTAAATTCAAGTGGCTCTCTACTGCCTCTGGGATCAACTTCCCAGTTAAACTTTTAAAGGTCTTCACAACCTGGCCCCAACCTATCTGTCCAGCCATATTATACATTATTCCCCTACCCAAACACTATTGTCCAACCTAAATGATCCTCATGCTGGTCCTCAAACACAGCACTCTCTCTCTTGTCTTTTTACCTTTGCACTGGTTACCACCCATGCCTGGAATTCCCTCTTTCCTCACCTCTCCCCCTTACAATCA